AGCCAACTGCCGATACTCCCTCCCAGCAACCCCGTTCATTGTTCCTTCCACCCACTTTTGCTTCAACTCATCTGTCACTTCAGGGTCTTTGGGCGCATACCAAGTCATAAGGGGACCTAAGAGATGGTCCGCCATATGCTTGATCCCGCCTTCGCCGCCCCCCAAGTGAAGCAACATGCTGGGACCCATGACACCCCACCGAAGGCCTGGCCCAAAGCTCATAGCTTTGTCGATGTCTTCTACATTGACAATGTCCTCCTGAAGAAGATACATGACCTCTCTTACTAACGCGGCTTGTAGTCGGTTGGCAACGTGGCCCACAACCTCTTTCTTGACATGCACCGGCTTCTTCCCCATGCGCTCGTAGAAATCCATCGTCTTTTGCACAGTCGATGCGGAAGTTTTGTCCCCACCCACAACTTCGACAAGGGGAATGAGATGCGGGGGGTTGAAAGGGTGGCCCACCACGCATCGCTCCGGCCTCCCGGAGGAACCCATGCCCTTTTGAATACTCGAGCATGTCAGACCGCTACTACTCGTTGCGATGATAGTATCGGGTCGGATGATTTTGGCCATTTCCATGAATAGCTTTCGCTTGAAATCAAGCTTTTCTGGCCCATTTTCTTGTACGAAGTCGGCATCCTTGAGGGCTTCCCCCATGTCGGTTGTAAATCTGATATCAGTCGCTTTGACATCCGATTCCTTCGTCAACCCCAATGACGAGAGAACTGGCAGTGCGTCGGTAACCAGATTGCGGAGGAAAGTCTCGGCGGCTGGATTGATGTCGAAGGCGACAACGGAGAGTCCTTGGGCCAGGAACAGTGCCGCCCAAGACGCACCAATCGACCCACAGCCGATGATGGCAACGTTGTGAATGTCAGGCATGATGAAAATGCTGGCGTGGTAGCAAAGGATGTGATTGGGTGATTGAGTACTTTGCAACTGGGTAGTGATACGGGAGGTGTGCTGGTGATTCGAGAACCGTGCTGGTAGTGCTAATGGCACGACCGGGACGCAGGCAGCAGGGCACAGAAAGGAGGTATTTATGAATTGGGAAAACGTGGCAGAAATCGGATGAAACTTTAAGAACAAGATGGGATAGTCAGTGAATTTAACGAGGGAGTGAAGGTTACTTGGATATTTCAGATAGCTACACGGACGGAAGCCCCGAAAGTAACGACGTAGTCCGGGCCGATCCCGGTCGCGAGAGCGTGGAAGCTCGGCATGCCTTCGCGACCCACAACGCCGATGTCCCCGCGCTAAAGGTAGGCAACGGGCCTGCAGTTTGGTGGGGAGCGTGGCAGAATTCCGCCCGCGGAATTAGGGCGGCGGGCCTGCGACTCGTGCGCCATCTCCGGATCACCAATCTTGGCGATTCCAGCTCCCTGTCCGTGGAGTTTCTAGAAAACTTCTCTTGGCCCGTGACAGTCTCGTTGCTTTGCGGCAACGTCATTCCTGTTCTTCTCATGCCTTAGTCTGGTGTCTCGACCGCCGGCACTCGCGTCGACCAGAAACCTCCGACTTGCGTACGCCTTGCCTTGCACGAGACTCAGACCTGGTTAACGTCATGCTCCGGGATGCACTGCCCCACATCATCGGTCCTCACGGCGTTCGCAGCCCTGATGGACGCAAGGGTCTTCCGACAGCGGCTGTTCCAATCAATCCGCACCGGTCACCGAGATATCTTCGTCTTTACTCCGTTTCCGCCATTGTCAACCATATTCCCACGGATGACCCGCCCTCACACGTCTTTGAGTATAAATCGAATAACTCCCTCTGGTCTTTAGCTTCCTAATATCCCAGGACTCTTAGCCATTGCAACTTGCAAGCCCTACTTTGCTCTATCGCATCCTTTTCTTTCCTTCTCGAAACCATTCCGAATACACATCATAAATCATGACTGTCGAAAAGATCCCCGACATCTACGGCCCGGGTACCTTCACAGATAAAACATTCACCTCTGTGCCAGAAGACACCGAACGCATCTTTCGTCTTATCGCCAGCCAGACTCCCGGCTTCACACAAGATGAAAGGATTCTCTCCAAAGTTCAATTTACTGGGGAGTCGTACCCTGTCATCCCCGGACCTATCAAGGCGACTTCGGTAGCTGCAGCATTGCATGCTATGACTGGCGTCTTGGCCGACGAAATTCTTACTCTCCGCGGCGCTAAGAATGACGAGCGTCAGATTACAGTCAACACCACGCACGCTGCCATTTGGTTTGGTTGCATTGCGACTGCTTTCTTGGATGGCGTTGATGTTGTGAGCCTGGTTAAACAGGGCAAGTTGAAGGAGTTGCTTCCTGACTGGGAGCGAGGATGGACCGACACTCCTCTCAAATACCGCGCCACCGGTCTGTACCCTACAAGCGACCCCGAGGTTTGGTATTCGCTTCATGGGAGCATGAATGCTGAGCCGGTCCTACGATCTATTGGTGTAGACCCCTCCACACCCGCCAAGACGCCGGAGGAGGCCGCCCGGCTCATTGCCCAACACACATCGAAGCTCAGCCCAGAGAAGATGGAGATGACAAATCTTTTGAACGGATTCTGTGGCAGCATTTGCTTCACGCCCAAGCAATGGCGTGAATCGGAGATGGGACGTTCGCTGTCGAGACATCCCTTGGTAAACGTTCAGAAGCAAGAGCAGGCAATCCCAACACCTCCGGTAGCCTTCCCGCCTCTGGACCCCAACGACAAGCGTCCTCTAGCTGGTGTCAAAGTTGTAGAGATGACTCGTGTAATTGCCGGCCCGCAGATCGGAACAATTTTGGCTGCGTACGGAGCCGACGTGATTCGTGTGAATCCTCCACACTTACCAGACATCAACATCATGCAGTTGACCTTGAACGCTGGAAAACGAACAATCGCCATCGACCTACGCAAGGATGAAGACGCCGCCATTCTCAAGTCTCTTGTCTCGGACTGCGATGTTTTCATTCAGGGTTTCCGCATCAACAAGATGCCGAAGTTTGGTCTTGGCCTCAACGATCTGCTCAAGATGGCTGGTGAGCGCGGCCGTGGCATCGTATACGTCAGCGAGAACTGTTTCGGCCCTGACGGCTACTATGCTGAAAGGCCCGGTTGGCAGCAGATTGCTGATGCTGCCGCCGGTTCTGCTTACGTGACAGGAAAGTCACTAAATCTGTCCAACAACGAGGCAGTTCTTCCCAGCTTGCCTATTTCCGATATGTCAACCGGTGTCCTCGGAGCTGTTGGTGCCATGTTGGGCCTGAAGAGACGGGCGGTTGAGGGGGGAAGTTACTATTCGCATGCCAGTCTGACTGGTGTCAACGCTTACGCCCTGACCGAAGAGGTTGGGCTTTATCCCGAGGCCACCGTGGAAGAATGCAAGCAACGCTTCCAATGGGGTGAAATGAGAGGATCACACCACGTGCTAGATCTCCTTGTCACCGTGTGGAATGGATGGCAAAGAGTTCTTGGGGATTACCTGCAGCCCGAGAGTGACTGGTTCCAAAGCTTTCATGACAGCGCTTTCGACAAGAAGAGGTTGAGCATTCTGAAGCCTGTGGTCAAGTTCAAGGGCGAGCAAGACACAACTCCCGAATGGAAGACACCGAGCGTGCCCTATGCAAACGAGAGGGCAGAAACAGTCAAGTTTCTTTGATTGATGTAAATTAACCACATACTTGATTATATGTAATGGGAGCATGAAATCTTCTTGTATCAGAACACCATTGATTTCTTTACTGGTGACTACAATGTCTCCGGCGTCACTGCAAAGCAGTTTGTTCTTTGAAGTAGGAATGCTATCCCTGAGTCCGGATCATTACATGTTGGCTCTACCTATCCCCGCCAAGTCGTCGTTGAGCAGAGTATCCTTTTCAAATCCATTGACAACTTGGTGAAGCATCGCAGCGGATATCTCTTGGACACAGATGCTTGGCAAGGATGCAACTCATTTTAATGCAAACCCCATAGCCATCTTCATATAATCATTCGGTGCAGTAATCCAACCAGGTTTTGCAATGCACACCTCGACTTTTGGTCTGTGTTCTTCCGCGAGTGCGAGAATAGCACTTTCAGCTTCACCCTGTCAATTCGAACCTGGTTAGCAAATGATCTTTCGACCCTCAACGGAAAAGCGGGAGAGAAGAGGAGGGCAAAACCTGATCAAGCTTACTCGTAACAAGGAATATTTAGGCTTGAAACTGGGAGTCTTGGTTTGGTCACGCTCCGAGGCTATGCCGCTCATGTACACAAATCGAATAGGCTTCGGATTGGGGCCGAATGCTGCCTCAGATCGCGCATCAATCATGGTCTTTAGAGCCACAAGAGGTGAGCGGAGACAAACGCGTTGAACCTCGTCCCACTCATAGGCATCGGACCTTGACGGCGTGATTGCTACTGTCCTATCCGATAGATGCAATACATCATCAGTGCTTTCTGTGCAATACCGTGACGTTGTATTCATTTTTACAAATAGGGACAGGGAAGATAAAGCCGGGCTAGAAGAATGATTCGCGACATGATAGAACTCACCAAATGCAAGCATCGGCATTCGCGAAGACTGCCTTCTCGTCGTCAGAGTAAGTGTCATAAGATCCAACCACAACAGTCGTCAACTTTGATATCTCGGCAGCAGATGAAGCTCCATTTCCAATATCCACGGGGCGTCTGGAAAGAGCTATTATGGATGTGATGCTGGGCAGCCGCAAGCTCTGGCGGACGAGCTCCGTTCCCACAAATCCGTTTGCTCCAGCGATAACAAGCTTCATGTCAGGCGATGCTGGCTCCAAGGGTTTTTGTCTCTAGGATGAGGTCAGAAGATAGAAACCAGGCTGGGTCAGGAATTCTGGTCTGAGAAGCGGGGTTAAGAAAGTCGATATGCTTATGGAAGCCATCTATGATCCGGTAAGCACTAGCGAATCCTGCGATGTTTTGTCATCAGAGATTTGTAAATTCCAGTGTTGAACCTAACGCTAGGACCACCTGCGGCCTCTTGGTGCGCAGTAGAACCGCTTGGCGATAAGAATATACGGCCTGATGGTCTAGTGGTACGATTCTCGCTTTGGGTTATTGTCTAATGCCGACTGCGAGAGGCCCCGGGTTCGAACCCCGGTCAGGCCCTTTTGAGGGATTTTTGCTTACTGAAGCCGATACGCTGACGAATAACAAACTCGAATTCTGTCAGATCATGGGCCATCGTCTTGACCTAACCGACTCACTAGGCTCGACTTCTTAGGTTGTTGGGACGCGGTAGAACCTGAGGCTGAGTGGAGATAGGCCCCGGAATATGTACTTCAGGATGACGCCCCCATAGCCTGGGTCGCATACTGCGTTGCTCATGTGGATCGCGCGGAGGTACTGCGAGAGATGGCAGACTTTTGGCACATTCAAACCATGAAGAATTACTGGCTCGCTCGGCGCCACGGCAAGAAGACACGACACGTAACGATGACAGTTGACTGGGTTGGAAACCCCAGTTTCTCCGATGTCAAGGAGGACTGCGTCAAGCAAAATCATCCAGCGCTTCTCAACGAGTGTTGGCATCGCATGAACAGACACAGCGATATGCGCCTAGACACAAGCCTAACAAATAACATGAATGTCCTGCCGGCGAAGTTTTCGAAGCAGACTTCCTGGCAGGCGTCGAGCATGATGGTGGTAGAAATAAGAAGCAGGGACCTGGATTGACGATTGGGTAAACCAGGGCGACAAATGGTGGGGCAGAGGAATCGAACTTCACTTGCAAGCTAGTGCCCTTTTGTATTTTGATTGAATCGAGACCAGAGATTGGCCGCAAGCGGCGGAATCAAAGCGAGCACTAAATTTCGAACCGACTTTCATTGCTGTAAAATGGTTTCTGGGTTGAGGTTGCGAGCTGACGAGTTGGCAGTGCGGCAAGCCATCTTTCAGTTATCACCGCAGCGAAGAGCAGTGTTTCTTTTCCTCTTATCAACGGCCAAGTGCCTAGTTGAATGGCCAAGGCCGTAATCACCTACCGCAATTGTAAAGCCAAGCTACAAAAAAACTATGTGTGCGTGTTCCATGCGGGGATTCTGAGGCGGAGCTCGCAAGCCTCGCAGTAGTCCCAGCAGATAACTCGTCCAAACGACTATGCCAAGGCTGCCAAGGCCAGCGTGATAGTCGTCCAAGATCAACTTAGCTTCTTTTAGCAGCTGTGTTCCATTAGCCAAGCCCCGAGGTGGCATCAAATCTTGCGTGATTCTCTCCAGTCGGATTTTGGCTGATGTGAGAATGAAAATAAGGTCTTGTTCTGAGCTCTCCGCACACCGTCTTTGATTGGCAATAGTCAACTTACAGATCTTGTTGATGCTTGGTACCTAACCCGTAATGGCTGAAGCGTGAGATATAGACTCCCAATACTTAAAGGCCGGCGGTGCCGCTTCATCGAAACGTGGTACCCAGGTGATTTGATCCTCATTGGCTCGTACAAGCAGCTCATCTCTCGGTAGCTCTCGCTATTGACAGTTCTTCGGTTCGTTGAAATGGTGCACATTCATGCCGCAGCCGTCCTCGGCTGGTCTCTGTTGAGATTAACCAATGCGGCTGGGGCAGGTACGAAAGCAGAGTATGACTCTGGCGAAGTGCATCGCCGCATCATGGGAATCAAGATGGTGTGTGCGATCAATGCCCGATCAGAGTGCTTTAGCTGACAGACCCAAAGGCTCAATGGGAGGCTGAGATCGCCGCTGGCGATATGGATAGTTCTCAGTATCCTGAGCTCGGATATACCCCGTGTGTGAACGGGTTTGCTGAGGCGGTCCCTGGAGATTTTCACAATACCTTCAGGTGTAATAACGTAAGCCTATTGCACGCACGCATGTGGAAGACTTCTCATTGCTAATTAATGAAGATCGACCTTTATCATTTTCTCTCCCATGAAGCGCTTGGCAGCTGGGGTGGACGTGGCTCGTCTTCATGGGGCTGGACTTCAGCAGATGGTAGAGAATTCGTCGCCATTGGCCAATACGACGGCACCGCCTTTGCAGAGATCTCAGAGGAGGGAAAGCTGGTTTACCTCGGCCGTCTCCCACAATACGATCGAATCGGCTCGCAATGGCGTGAAATACGTATCGTTGGTGATATTGCGGTGATTGGGTCCGAGGCCATTCACCATGGAGTGCAGTTCTTCGACATGAAGAAGGTCCTTGATCTAGATCCCGCAAATCCGAAGAACTTCACTCAGGAAGAGCTTACTGGGCACTGGGACGAGCTCCCCATGGGGCGTACTCACAACATCGTCGTCAATCACGAACTCAACTATGCCATTGCTTGTGGCTCTGTGGGCGGAAACGAAACCATTCGGGTGCGAGGCGATCTGCCCTGTCGGGGCGGTCTGATTTTTCTCGACATCAGCGACCCAACCAACGTAACAAGCCCTGGCTGCGCTGCGGGGGATGGTTATGTGCATGATGCTGAGTGTCTAGTATATCGTGGCCCAGACCATCGGTACTATGGAAGAGACATCTGCTATGGCTACAACGAGGATACTCTTACCATCTACGACGTCACTGATAAGAACGGTAACACCACAAACATCATCTCAATTACGGACTACCCTGGTGCGCAATACGTACATCAAGGTGTCGTCAATAACGAAACTTGGCAAGAGTACTTGTTCATTGACGACGAATTCGACGAGAGGGATGCCAAGGTCGGCCCAATGACGCAAGGTCTTCCCACAACCCACATCATGGACATCCGCAACTTGGAAGCTCCAGTCTATGTAGGGCACTACGCTGGGAAGACTAGGTCTATTGACCACAACCAGTACATGGTGAATGGTTATTTGTATCAGTCAAACTACGGGAATGGGTTAAACGTGCTTGACGTCAGCAGTGTTACTAAGGACCCAACGGGTAGCAGCATCTGCGAGGCTGGCTTTTTCGACATTTATCCCGAAGATGATGAGAATGAAGGTGGTGGCACAGTTGCATTCCTCGGATCGTGGTCCTCGTTTGCCAACTTCAAGTCCGGCTTCATTTTCGTACACACAATCGAGCGCGGCAGCTTCGTGGTCAAGATGACATCCAAGGAATGCCCAAAAGCACCTGTCTGCAACGCCGATAATTGCCTTCGGGCGTTGCGGGCCTCACACATTCCTGATCGCCTAAAGGAGTCTGGAGAGTTCTGTGGCAATTACACCCAGCGCCTCAACACCGACGACATCCTTGTGCCTGGGTATGCTGCCGAGGCGTGCGGCGGGGAGGATAAGCATGTTGTTGCACGGGTCAGCAGCGCTTGTGCTTGTATCCCGACACCTGCTGTTCCGGAATTACCAAGAACTACTACTCGTCCCCCGGTTCCGACGGTGCTGCCCCCAAAGAAGCAGTAGTAGATGACTTGATGTCAAGCCGTCGCCCGACATGGTGCTGCACAACTTCCAGATTAGATTAAAACTGAATGATGTAGTTCTTCATTCACGAGTCTCCCGTTTTCCCTGAGTTGCTCTAGAAATCCATAAGGCGAATCAAACATTTATAGTGCCAACTTAACAAACCACGTGAGATCTCCGTTCGACTGCGAACCCCAACCGCCAAACTTGGTCCTTCATCCTGAGGATATGAAATAACTAATGCAAGCGCAAGAAGAAGAATAGGAATTCAAGCCGCATCGATCCCCAAGCACCAATTATGATAAAGCGGTCAGCTTACCCATGACCATAATGGCCACAAATCTGGACCTCGTTGGCCATTTCCTTCAGAGGACTTTTTGGTGCAATTGAGAGAGTGGGAGACCGGCATGAACCTCCCTACAGCTGCGAGATTGAATCAGATACTCGACGTAACCACTGGAAAAAGTATTCACGAACCTTTGACCCCTACTTCATGCACATTGGGTCCTTCGTACGGTGGCTCTAGTACAAGTAGCTTCGGGCGGACGATCTCAGGTGTCACCTCGTGTGGGATGCATACAACCATAGGAGGGCGTGACGAAGAAGAGGCAGATTTGCGGCTCGCCTTAGCGTGGGCTTGCTCTGGAGATTGTTGGTTGAATTGCGCCATCTTGACGATTTTCCTAGGATCAGAAGTTCGTGCGATGCGGCCAGCATTGTAGAAGAAGGCAGGCAGTGGCAATGGTGGGTTTTGGGCAGGAATTCCGGTGACTAATAGAACTGCCCAAACCATCTTAAGTGTCAATTTCAGGCCGAAAACAATGTTTGCTCGATCTCCCGGACATTGACTGTGCCGCCTAAGGGTGCAGGGGGTTCAACTGACCGGGACAGTCGGACCCCCACCACCGCCAACAGCAGCCATCTCCAGAACAAGTTCCTAGACCAGGGTCGACGCCAATAAAACAATGCCCATGAAATCAACGAAGCGCGGCTCGTTGGCCGTGGACTTACACACGCGTTGCGGTGTCTACAATTTTGGAATGGAAAAACCAACAGTCAACCTACAAATGTACCAGGCTCGAGAGCTCAATTAACGGCGATACGGAGTATTGCGTAGATCCATGTGCGCGCCCCCGCGCCAATGAATCATCACGTGGTTTCCAAACACTGTGAGTTCGGAAATGAGCTTTTGGGTGGCAAAAAAAGACTGCTGCGACGATTGGACGGGTTTACGAGGAGCTGTGGACCAATGTTGGTAATGAATCCCTGACCGTTTGGCACGAAGAACCAATCGGGGATGGGCCGGGAGGCTCTCTGCGGAGATCCCAGACGCCATGCTGCAGCGTTCAGGGGATGCCAATAATGATTACCGAAGGAACTTCCCACTGTTCGTACTCTTTGATGACGGATCTGCTGCATGACTCCTCATCACTGTCGCACACAGCTATGTGTGCCTGTGGCTTGGCAATATTCGCATCGAATGTCTACAAACAAGGAGTGACGTCTAGTTCAAGAGGTAAAGGACGCAGTGCTGTTCGTAACCAACGATCTCCAAGTGACGGCAAGCAAATGGCACTGCAGCAGGCAACAAATCGAACGAAGGTACTAAGAGATTGCAAAAGCAGACTGCTAAGTCACGGCAGGGACCACGCCCCACTACGTTCAAGGTTGGCATTTACGTGGTGTGACAATTAGGCATCTTCCGAGGCTTCAACATGGGCCTCTTACGGTTGAATTCATGTCTTTGTGTGTGTGTTTTACGTCCGTG